AGGTCGCTCGTTGAAACGAAACACCTCGAAACTGAATGAGTGAATCTCTGGGCCAAACTGTTGGGAGAGTCGTGGTACTGAACTGTGTCATCAGCCGCGCAGCCATCTGCCAGCAAGTTGTGGTGGGTACTGTAGTCCGGATCAGAGTCCGGAGTCATCACGCACTTCTCTACCCGTATACTTATCCTGTCTTCTCCTGGTGTTCAAGATGTTGAATTATGAATTGCGAAAAGTTCATTTTAGGAGTCAGTATTATAATTAGCTATATTAATATTATCTTAATTTTAAGGCAGATCAGTGGCAAAATTTAAAAAACTAAAAGTGCGAAATCTACAACATAACAACAGCCGGCCGGAACAATTTGTAAGCTTTACAGATGCGAACACTATGACTATAATGTATAAATATAAATACCGTACCACTGCTAGAGAGTACCCGACGTCGGGCTTCAGCTAAGACTCTTTCCTTGGAATCTGCGTGCAGTGATACTCTTTCAGTTGATACACCTCCTTAAAAGAAAAGTCATGGTATAGCTTGAGTCCGAACGAAAAATCACGGGCCCCCTTTCCCTCCACCAAATATTTGGAAGAAGACACTGCATATGCTGCTATGGAGGTATGGGGAACGAAATCGTACTTGCATGTCATGAAGAGACGTGATTCGTCCAGTGCTACTGATCCACGGTTTATGACAGCGTGGACAGTTGCCTCAGAGTCAGAAGAATCGTCGGGTGGGTTTAAAATGTCTGGGACAATGTAGTTGGTGTAGTATGCCATAGATTCATTGTAAGTCACGACAGTACCACAGCTAGCCCAATTTGTGGTTACATTGACAAACTTGTCATCTGCAACGACCTTACAACTCGGGTCTTTAAGTGAGGCCCTGGATGGGATGAGATGGGGGAATGCAGAGCGGTGGAGGGTCAATGTCATGTTGCTCGAATGACACGTGACCTCAACGTAAGACTGGGTGAATATCTCCAACTCTGGGTATATGACCACGTCACCGTGTGCCCCTCCGATGAAGGAACCCCAAGATAGAACCGCTTCAGAATCACTTGTTGCCTTCTTGGACAGTTTCGCTACATGATCAGCCGTGGTGACGTAAGTAGCATACAAATTAAAGTACATGATCTCTCCTCGGAAGGAGTAACTGGAACTTCCGCTATGTATCTGCCCTAACTTTATCCGAAGTCCCTTCTTAATGACGGAGCCTGCGGACAGACCACTGAAAGAGAACACTTTCCGTCCGTTGACCCAGATAGACCCTACCCCGTTAGCATCAGCTGTACCAGACCAAGTCACCACAATATGCTTCCTACTACCGGAAGACACGCAGCCGCTGCAATATTTCTGAACCCCATTGACATATAAGTACAAATATGTGGAAGCATATTGGTAAAGCTCTATTTCTCTGCCCGGCGTAGAAAAATATGCAGTGTAACTATCAGTTACATCCTCTGCCCAGAAGGAAATGGTGAACTGATTCAAATCCATGGGTATCTCAGTGGTTGACTCAACGTACGAAGTGGAGGCTTTCACGGGAAACTGGAACTTCCAGTTATGGTCCGGCTCAATGGTGGACCTGTTAACTGCAAAAGCAGACGCACAACCTAGGAGACACAAGAAAGTGCCAAAGTGTACCGTAAACATCGGGAATATCGCTGAATGGATCAAAAATTCGAGAATGATCGAATCTTATGAAATGCACCTTGCTCTTATGTTGACCGAAAAGAAGTAAAGTAGTCGAGTTGGTCATGGTGGTTTTGTTGCTGAAAAACGTGATTAGGTGCACCAACACCTTTTGTTCCCAGCCATCAATTGTATGTCATCTCCGTTACGTGGACTGATCACGAGATAACAGCTGCTGAAATGATCCTTGGTGTCGACGGTCGTGTGCTCGATCAGGTCATTATATTTCAGGAGACAAATCAAATTATGAACCAAGCCACGAAATGTGTTTGTGCAAGAAACTGATAGACATGATTAAAAGGGGTCGTTCACATAACATTACGTAATCAATTTTTAGCCAATTTTTAACCCCCCCCCCCCCCCCCCCCCCTTCGTAATACTAATCAGTTTTACGCATAGCTATTGTGTCAAAATTACACTATCGTAATCATTTGGAAACACCCCATCCCCCTTCGGCTGATAGAGATTACGTAATATGTGAACGACCTCAAAGGTCAACATTGTTGGTGGAAGCAAAGTTGAGTATCGAGTGTGTGCACGTTCGAACCAATGCTAGGGTGATCCGAATAGTATAACTATATCCGTATCGACATCGTGGAGTCAAGGGAACTGGACACGTGGACGGAGGGCACAAGTGACAAGGGTACGTTGCTTTCACCTCCGCCCTCTTGTTTTATAACAGGAGTCAAACCTTTTATATTTAAAGTCACTATTGTGACGGTACATTAGAACTAGACAGAAACAAAGTGTGAAGGGCCTCATACATTTGTTCCTGGAAGTCGTCCAACAGTTCTCTAGGATAACTCGGCTCACAACAGCCTAATATCGTCACAAAAAGCTCTCTTATCTGCCTACACGTAGCAATCCCACACGCTTCCTCCAGTGTTCTCTTCCACTCTGTGTCATCAGTTAACAGACCTCTCTCACGACACACCTCAGCTCCTCATCCGTATCATACCTCACAATCACATCATCGTACACTTTCATCTCACGAAACGACCTCACACCACGCACATGAAGCAGTAACATTCTCAAGTAAAATTTCTCCCGCTGCCTGGGACCTACACTGTAGATTCTTGCTATCACCGCAGCACCCGACTTCACTTGTTTAAAAATTAATCCACTTCTTGTTTTTCTGGTCCCACCTATAGTGCTTAGGTATCTCATTATACAAATACTGCCGTGCCTCAGGATCTCTCTCATTCAAATCAAACCAAGCTGTCAACTTCGTACTGTGATCTCGCTCCAACACCCCATCAATATCAGCACCCTCTCTAAAAGTGACACTCTGATGGAGGTGTTCGTGTATGTATAATCTCACAACAGTGTGGCTCTTATCGCACACATCAAATCCACTGAGTCTCCACACACTCTCCGGTATCAATGTATTTCTCATCCCGAGAGGTGGGATCTCTTTCAGTTGTCTCAATTCTTGCACAGTCATGACCTTTGTAAACATATTTAAAGATGTACTTAATAGATTTTATGGATGTACAGGCTTCTACGTTGATGTGGGCATTATACTTTAGTGATAAGTATTAGTAAGGACAGTACGGTACTACGTATCTATTGTCAAGCGGTACACCATTTTTCATCACCATCCTACCGTTGTTTGGGCGTTTATACAATGGAAATCCATTAACATCCATGACCGTTCCCTCTTGGAAATCTTTAGGAAAATTTTTTGGAGTTGATTGTCGCGCGCATTTTTTGGAGTTGGGTTACATCTTGGTGACAGTAATGATAAATGGAGATTATAAATGGTAATTCCATGTTTTCGCATTTCACGATTCTTCTTTTCATGATTACCGATCATCAGGTTAAAATGATATTATTATTATATTTATACTAGTGTAACCCGGCCTTCGGCCGGGATTTCACTGCCGCAGTTAAAAAGGGTAGGATAATTTACCCGTTGAGTCAAAACCCGCATTAGGTGAGCAATTCTATTCGGAGTGCCCTCACGTATCCGATGGTATCTTAAACAATAGTAATAGTATCTTAAACAATAATCAATAGAAATTAACCCTTAACACCACACCCGCCTATCATATTTGTGAACACGCATAACATTGTCGTATGAAAGTATGAACTCTCTCTCTGCGGTCCAAACAGTGCCCCCTCCCCTAATAAGATTATAGTATAGACAGCGAATCTTGCACGGGTAACTCAATTACACTAATTATGCAGCTACATATGCGAGCCCCGTAACTCTTACCGTTGTGCTCAAGCCATTTTATGTAACATTTGTGGTACAAAATCATCAATTAAACCACTTACCAACGACCGATTTAAAAAACCTTTATCATTTAACTTCGTCAGAGTTTTGTCGGCACTTTACCGAAAAAATCAGTCCCGCAACTCTTACCGTTTTCTTGATTAAGCCGCTCGGAAATTACAAACAGACAGACAGACAGACAGACAGACAGAAAACACACATTCTGGGATTATTAGTTAGATTGTATTTGCAATTTGTAAATTAAATTTTGTTCTGGAACATGGAAGAAGTTGTTTTTATTTTCTCAGAGGACAAATACAAAATAGATTTTTTATCAGTACAACAATTGTCATCGCATTTTAATTAATCTAACATGACACAGTATCACAGACACTATCAAGTATGATATTTAAGTTTAACGGTTGAAATTTCTTGGATTGTCCCAGATTGACCTGCGACCGTTCTTAGGGTTTCTCAATAAATGGGTGCCGAGGCTGGCCATTCATGGAGCCAATAACAAAATACAAATGGACCGCCTCAAATTTGTGAGAAACTTTTAGCTCATGGCACCTAGTCATCACACTCATCAACCTGTTATGAGTGCTAAATACTTAACTGCCATGTGCCAGTTTTAAGATCTGAAATACCAAAATGAAAATTTGTATTTATTGTATTTCTACCTTAAACAATTTTTCAGCTCGAAAACAAGGGTCCCTCCCCGCTTGTGTACATTTTTCAGGACATTCTGTTCTTCAAATATCATAAAATAGCGGATACTTTTGAAGTTATATGAGTATGACCAGACTAGATTACTATTAATTTTACTTCAATTTAGCATAAACATGTTGGAATATCCAATACAGGTGACACATACGTAATTCGATAACCAAAATTCATGGCATAAATTGGACAATTACCCAAAGCAAAGGTTTTTCCATTCTCTCCATTTTATGCCATTTCGCAATTCATTATTTCGTTTTGAAATCTTGAATTTGAGTGGACCAGATTTTGTGTCAAATATATTCACTGTAAAAATACTTTACTGTCCTTTAAACATAATTGAAGATGAAGTAAACAAATGAAACGCAGTATTTCTATAGAAATAAACCAGCAACTTGCCAAGATTTATAAATAATATTAAAATACAAATAAAGCTCGAGTTCTGTACAAAAGGTGCACGATGAGAAAATGTAGAACAGAAGGTGTCATGCTGATTACATGCAGTTGTCTCCACCTCGTTGCCTGAAAAAAGATTTTGATTAAATGAAATCAAAACAGTGTCAATATAATGTGTTATTAGTCTACAAACAATGGGGTTCTTTATTTAAGCAGAACGGGTCCATCAACATTCGTAGATAATCACAATCATCAATTAAGGTAAAAATGTCGCCAGTACAAAGAATTAAAGAAGATCCGAAATGTAAGTTTACCTTGGGGTCGCTTTGAGAATGTCATCAACTCGCAGGATCATTTCGGCGGCCTCCGCAGCACTGTTGACCACGGCGTGCTTCACGGCGAACGACTCTGTAATTCCGAGCTCTCGCATATCACCGACCTGAACAAAAAGAATTATCTTTTGAGCCTTACCGAATTGATTAAAAGCTGTTTGAAATACTGATTGTTTAGGTGAATATCAGACAAAGAGAAACAACCAAGCACTGGTTCCAGTAAATGTACAAACCTCTCCGGTGACCATGTTAAGTCCTGCGTATATCTGATCCTGACTGTGCATGGCTCTCAGCTCAGAGACCAGCTGTGAGCTGTCGTAACCACCGTTATCAGCGATTATTGTGGGGATCTGTCGCAGGGCTCGAGCGAAACTCTCGATAGCGAGGGCTTCTTTGCCAGGGGTACGGGCTGCTAGTTCTTCAACATGACGTGCCATTCTCATCTCAGAGCAACCTGGAGGGAGTAATGGGTTAAGATGAAAATTAAAATGGTCTATTTATTAAAGCTTTTATAAAACTCTTTCTCAGATGTATCAAAATAAAATCCTTAGATTATTGATGATGTACAGATAGGAGTCGACAAATGTAATAGCAAACCTCCTCCGAAGACGGTTCTAGTTTCCTTGACAGTCTGAGTAAGGACACAGAGAGCGTCGTGGAGAGATCTCTCGGATTCGTCAACAATCATTTTAGTTGCCCCTCTCAACACTACGGTACAAGCTTCGCCCTGTTTTACTCCTGTAGTGAAGACCAAGATTAAATTCGACGCCGAAATTTAAAGTATTATTATAGTCTGTCAATTCTGATATTTTCGCAGTGGAAATTTGGTCTTAAATTTGTGGGAAATAGTACCTGAGAATTTGAGGAGCTTGTCTTCTCCGAGGATGACTTCTTCGATAAGTTTACATTCTCCTAGAGTGACCTTTTCAGGCTGATCGAAGGTGGAAACTATTTCAGCTCCCAAAACCTTAGCCAATCTTTCGATGCCATCGAAATCAGCATGCTCGATAGCCATAACTCCGGCATCAGCAAACAGTTGGTCGGGGTAATCGTAGATCAGCTGTCTGTTGATAAAGCAGGTGATGTCGTGTGTTAGAATCTTTTCTACTTTCTGCTTCATCTTGTTCTTCTCTGCAAGCTCGATCTCTGCTACTTTAGCTGTGGAATCTACTTTAATTTTTGATCCAAAGATTTTGATCTTATCTGTATCCATAGGAGTGTTAGCCACGAGGATTCTGGCATTCTCGATACGTTTTGGCTGGTTGTGTCCGATTTCTTTTTCAAGAAGGAATCCCTCATCCAGATACGAGTCTTCGATACTTCCTCCGGTTTTCTTAAGAATCTGGATAAGTTCTAAGTCAGTACTTCCGTTCAGTCTCATCACAGCGTTTACAGCAAGTTCGGCAAAGTGCTCTTTATGCTGGTTTAGGATCTTTGAGCTGAGTGTGGTTCTAGCAATGTTCATCAGGTCTTTCTTGAAAGCTTCGATATCTTTGCCGTTGTCGATGGCTGTGTCAGTCAGGACCTTGATGGCAACTTGAAGAGCGGCCCTGTATCCGCTGATGATGATCTGGGGATGCAGCTTTTTTGACACCAACTGCTCTGCTTCCTGAAGAAAAAATGATATTTAGCAAGAGACACCTGTATTTGGCGCATGTGTCCAACTAACAACTACAGCCAAACGGTGCTGTTCCTTCATTTTAAATAGCCGTCAAAACTTTGAAACCACAATTTCATCATTCGATGACATTCAGAACACGCAACGAAAAGAGGTTGTCGTAGTCTGAGCTATGCCATTGATATAAAGGATCACGTAAATGTTCTTTTATGTGCTTCTAGTTGTTGCCATGAAAAAGCACTCGTAAATACACTTCTTGCTTCTATAACATTCTTAGCTTTCAGTCATCAACTAGTTAATCCGGACGTACGTGATTCCCGCGCGTAGAATAATCCAGAAAAAGGACCTCAAAATTTGTCGTTTGGCGAGCGCGAATAACGGCCAGTAACATGCGCCGGCGAATAATGCAAGCTTGCTTGTGAAGGTGATGTAACTACTGGATAATGGATGTACATGGATTCGATGGATGAAATTGAAACGAGAACGTTCAGAGGACAGCTTGAGACATGAAAAATATGGCATGTTAACGGTCAGTCGGATAGATTTCTATGAAAATTATGGACATTGATTCCACAAAGATCATCTACATCAGCTTTTGTGAAGCGTTAAAGAGTCGATCCATTTTTGCGTGCAAAAGTTGTAAAAATTGCCAATTGGCAAGTTTTCAACCAATTTGCGAAATGCACGTGCGCGATTATAAATATCCAGGCAACGCGTGATGATCACAGTTTCGTCAGTATAATCTCTAATACGTTCCCCCTACTGAAGTTTTTCTTGAACATTCAACGAGTTTTTCATTTCTAAAATGGAAGAAGACTCAATTATATTAGCTACGGCTATATTAATCATTATCCTGGCAATAAGCTTGTTTGGATTCTTCATATACCTCATCAAAGCTGCCAGGAAGGACAGCAGGACAGCGATGACCAGACTACACGCTGTTATCCTCAAAGTGCGCGAGGCAAACAATATGCAGGAGCGCACTTTCGAGGAGTTTGAAAGAATGGTTACCAAAAGACTGCGTAATGTTTTCAAGCCAATTACGGCACTCACAGCAGAGCATGGAGCTCAAACGGATCAGATCACAGAGGACCTGGAGAACGGAACTGTTGAAGATTCATCAACACAGACCTATCCTCAGCAAGGACCTGCGAATCCCGCTCCGGACACTGTTGAGAAGGACCTGAACTCACAGATAGACCAGGTGGGACAGGATACCATCTCAAAGACTGAAGAAATGGAGGTTTGCTCCCTCCCTCAGCTAACGGTTCAACCAGCGATCTCTTCTATTTCCATCTCCGTTGAGGAAGAAGAGGAACCGACCACCAAGAACGAGGCAGAGACTGTAACCATTGCCATTGACTTGGAACCGAGTAACGCTCCTCAGGCTCAGATCAGGGCTTGCTCTTTGCCACCACTAATGGTGAGGACATCTCTTTCCTCCAGCGTTTCCATCCCTGTCTGTGACAGAGAAGATTCAAGCATTGAGGTCGATGAACCAACAACAGTTCCAGCTCCTTTCGTTCCTAAGAGGATCTGTTCGCTGCCTCCCATAATGATTCGACCTGCTCTCTTGTCAGATGTGGTCAAACCAATATCTGATTAAGAGAAGCAACTCTCGAATGAACGCAGAAAAGAACTGAAAAGACATGGACCACCACATTGACGACATTTTACTACAAGATCCAGGATTTTACTACTATTTTATGACATTTTAAGTGGCCAATCAACAAATCGTGTTTGTGCCACTTTAAAATCATAATCCAGGATTTTATCACCACTACTTAAAGACATTTTAAAAGGCCCTCGCACCAAGTCGTGCTTGCGGTCTCAGTGGGGGGAGCTAGATAGTTTTTAACTATCTGCTTTTCGTGCCAGCCTCATAGCTCTGCTAGATCTTGCCGTGTGGCGGGATATAACAGAACTGGAGGTCCCACTGCCGCGGATCTAATCCGGCTGATGATCCTGGAGTGCGGTCAACTCCAATTTTTATTTTAAATCTGTAAATGTTTCTAATGAAACACATTATCAGGTCAAACCAGGTGAAATGAGGATTTCCCAGTATTCATCATTATTTGAACGTACCCTGAGAAGTTCAGCAGCTAGAACAGTTACGGAGGTAGTTCCATCACCAACTTCATCGTCCTGAACTTTGGAGATGTTGACAAGGACTTTAGCAGCTGGGTTGTCTACTCCGATAGAGCGTAGGATTGTGGCTCCATCGTTTGTAACCTAGATTTAAAAATACATCATAATTGTGTGTTTGTGTTCAACGGATCTGAAATAATCATTGAGAAATTAAACACTGACTATTTTCTGTAATTTGGTAAAATCATCGACGGCCGAATATTACAAAAGACCACTCAATTTGGAAACTTCCCTATCAGAATTAGACTAAAACGGCAAAGTTTTAACAAAACTAGACACGATTGACATGAGTATTTAAAACACTAACCTGGATATCACCGGGGTATCCATCTTGGCCCATTTGGACTAGAATCTTATCCATACCCTTAGGTCCCATGGTACTCTTGACAAGGTCTCCGATGGCAATGGCGCCGATGAATGAACTCTGAAAGTTAAAGTAGATTTAAAGAGTTTCCAAGTAAAATGTTTCGTGACTTAAATTAAGAAAATATTGCCTATACAAGGGTCGACCGAGTCCTCGGCCTCGGTTTTACCGAGGAATAGCGATTTTTCCTCGTCCTCGGCTTCGGTCAGGAGGACAATTCCTCTGTTTGCCTCGGCCTCTGTTAAAAATTAAGTTGCTATTCCTCGGCCTCGGCGAATAGCAATCTTGAACAAGGGTCGACCGAGTCCTCGGCCTCGGTTTTACCGAGGAATAGCGATTTTTCCTCGGCCTCGGTTTTATCAAAGCAAAATTTCCTCGGCCTCGGTCGCAAATCCTGCCCTCGGTCGACCCTTGTGCCTATAACAAGGTTCTAAAACAACACACAATTAATTGACTGTTACTTTAAAACTGAATTTCACTTGGGGGGAGGGGGGGGGGGGGGGGGGGCGGGGGTACACTTACCATTCGGGCATGCTCAGCCTTCTCTTCCTCTGCTCCTTGCCTTAGGATTTGGACTGGATTCATTGAAGTCTGAAACATTTGATATAAAGTTTGGCGGAGTTAATGACATTCTAAACGGCAGATGTAGGGCTTGGATCATGAGAAAGCCGTTAATAGTATTATAAAAATATACGATACTATTCATTCAACTTATGTAGTTTCAATTGCAACGCTGAATTGAATTGAATTCTATCAAAATGAAATAAATGGTATACCGAAGGAGATTTACTCACCATGATGTGAAGGAACCTTGCTACTACTAAAACGGATGTGGAAGGTTAGTTACAAAATAACAGTTAATTGTAAATTAAGAAGAACCCATTATTATCAATCTGTGCTACCTTTTAAGGGGGGGGGCCAATGGGTATTTTTTTGTGAAACTTGATTTCGAGATAGCAATTGACCAACAAACTAAGACCAGTGACCGAACTTTTGAGGGGGTCCCGGACCCCAACCGCCAAACGGTGCGCGCATGGCAGCCACGCCCATATTTGGTCCAAATTAGGCCCAATTTAGCCAAATACCCTGAACATGCCCAAAACCAAGGTTTATGGTGCTCTACTTGTAGCTAGTGGTCTCCTGAACTCGTATATGAAATTTCATCAAGATTGGACAAAAAATGACTGAGTTATGAGCCAAAAACCATATGCCCATATTTGGGCATACGCACCAAATTTGGTAGATTTCTTCCCATAAATTGGTCAAATATCAATATTTTTGAATGAAACTTACTTTATATGAAAGGTAAGCCTAAACTACATATTATCTGTAAGTTATAGCTTTATATCTGTTTGAATGTGGATACTAAGGCGAAAAAACCACTAAAAATGAACTAAATTGCCCATATCTCGGTTCGCGATATTTGCGGAATTGATCTCATTAAAATTGTAACAACTCAATCAGTTTTCAAAATTTTTGCATGAAATTTTCGAAATCGACTCGAAATCGCATTTCCACCTTATTTTAAATACGGATTTTTGATTTAGGCCTCCAAAAAAATTTGGCGGCCAAATTCTGAATTTTTGTGAGATAATTTTGGAATTTGGCCGCCAAATTTTTTTGGAGGCCTAAATCAAAAATCCGTATTTAAAATAAGGTGGAAATGCAATTTCGAGTCGATTCCGAAAATTTCATGCAAAAATTTTGAAAACTGATTGAGTTGTTACAATTTTAATGAAATCAATTCCGCAAATATCGCGAACTGAGATATGGGCAATTTAGTTCATTTTTTGTGGTTTTTTCGCCTTAGTATCCACATTTAAACAGATATAAAGCTATAACTTACAGATAATATGTAGTTTAGGCTTACCTTTCATATAAAGTAAGTTTCATTCAAAAATATTGATATTTGACCAATTTATGGGCCGAAATCTACCAAATTTGGTGCGTATGCCCAAATATGGGCATATGGTTTTTGGCTCATAACTCAGTCATTTTTCGTCCAATCTTGATGAAATTTCATATACGAGTTCAGGAGACCACTAGCCACAAGTAGAGCACCATAAACCTTGGTTTTGGGCATGTTCAGGGTATTTGGCTAAATTGGGCCTAATTTGGACCAAATATGGGCGTGGCTGCCCTGCGTGCACCGTTTGGCGGTTGGGGTCCGGGACCCCCTCAAAAGTTCGGTCACTGGTCTTAGTTTGTTTGTCAACTACTATCTCGAAATCAAGTTTCACAAAAAAATATCCATTGGCCCCCCCCCTTAAGATAAAATTCGATTCAGGATCAACAAAAATATATTCGACAATCAAGCTGTCTGATACATTTGTAACATATTAATTATTAAATAGTTTGTAAAGATTGAGCAGGATATAGTTATTAACGTACAAATTGATGATTGCCTTAAGCATCAATTTATGTTGACGAGTGTTCACTTAAAGTCGCTAAAAAAACCGTCTAGTGTTGGCTCTGAAATTTTGTGTGTTTTATGGCACCTTAATGACCTTAACAAAAAAAAAGAGGGGGAATGTATATTGTATTAATGCCTGAATGCTGTGACTAATTGCTAGATTGAAGTGCAACAGTAGTTTCCACTAATGCAGGGTGAATTTCAGCTATGAAAGAATAAAGTTGTAGCTAGAAAATAGGTTTCCCATTGACTGTAAGTACTACCTCCATTAAAGAACCCCACTAAAGGACTCGGCTGCTATAAATTAAATTATAGAGCTGCTATAAACCCATTTGACACGGCTGACAGCTGTTTCTGTTCCCTTTGTACGTATTTTTTAAGTGAAGACACAGTTACTACAGCAGAGAAGTCTACTTTAACTTCACAACCCCTCAGTTCAAAATATTAGTCATGCTATTAGCATATCATAATGCAATGGAAATATGTAAAGTATTGTGTTAATGTGGTTTAAGGAGAAAAATCAGGAGACGTCAATGGACCTAACACCCTTGTATTGTTCTTTCGGTGACAATTGCTCGATTAGTAGTCCATCTGGCTGGATGGGGAGCATATTATTTAAGGGCCGAGCTCGATCATGAGATATCATTACAGACCAACAGAAACGTTCAAGTATTGCAGACAAAATGAAGATCCTATTCGTCCTATTCCTTGTCGGAGCTACTCTGGCTGAAGATCCTGTCTGCAAAGATAGTCATCCAGCCTGCCACGTTGAATGGTGCAAAGAAGGGGACTACATTGCTGAGGAGTACTGCCAGAAGACATGTGGTGCATGCAGAGCTCGACCGGGATCCCGGCGCAGCCGGTCCCGGTCCCGGCCGGGATTTTGTTTTTAGCCGGGATTTTAGCCGGGATTTTTCCAAAATAAAGTCGGTTTAAGAGCGTATATTTGAGCCCAAATTTCACGAACCTGTGAACATTTTCCGAAAAGTTTTACTACAACAGTGCTCTACAGTGTTTCTTAATAGTTAGATCATTTCACTTTCTCGTCGCCAAAAGTTTATCGAAAATTCAACTTTCAAGTCTTATGTGAAATGTTTATGTTACATGATCAAAATTCTATGAATTTTGATCAATGGTAGTTGGCAAATTTCAAGTCAAACAAAATTTACTAATGTTCAAAATTAATTATATGTTCAACTGTTCACTTCATGAGTAACAAATTACAAAATGTTAGAAGAAAGCTGAAGTCCGAACAAACTTAGAAATATTCAAGAGTCAGGGGCTCTCTATCTATCTCAGAGATAAAGAGAGAGATAGAGAGAGATAGAGAGAGAGAGAGAGAGAGAGAGAGAGAGAGAGATAGAGAAAGATAGAGAGAGATAGAGATTAGAGAGAGATAGAGTAGTTACTACTACTTACTGTCAATTTTAACTTGACATACTTCAGTTTGTTCTGGAAGATTTTATTTAACATATAACACTGTTTCATTTTAACTGAGATTGAGAAATATTGGAAAAATCCCGGTCCCGGTCCCGGTCCCGGCCGGGATGAAGCTAATCCCGGTCCCGGCCGGGTTTTCATTTCGATCCCGGTCCCGGTCCCGGTCCCGGCCGGGATGAAGGTCATCCCGGCCGGTCCCGGCCGGGACTAAATTTCGATCCCGGTCGACCACTGGGTGCATGTACTGTTGAAGTACTTCTACGATCTGCCGTCGAGGATGACAAAGTTCCTGTCTGCAAAGATACTCATCCAGCCTGCCACGTTGAATGGTGCAAAGAAGGAGACTACATTGCTGAGGAGTACTGCCAGAAGACATGTGGTGCATGTACTGTTGAAGTACTTCTACGATCTGCCGTCGAGGATGACAAAGTTCCTGAGCCTGTCTGCAAAGATACTCATCCAGCCTGCCACTTTGAATGGTGCAAAGAAGGAGACTACATTGCTGAGGAGTACTGCCAGAAGACATGTGGTGCATGTACTGTTGAAGTACTTCTACGATCTGCCGTCGAGGATGACAAAGTTCCTGAGCCTGTCTGCAAAGATACTCATCCAGCATGCCACGTTGAATGGTGCAAAGAAGGGGACTACATTGCTGAGGAGTACTGCCAGAAGACATGTGGTGCGTGTACTGTTGAAGTACTTCTACGATCTGCCGTCGAGGATGACAAAGTTCCTGAGCCTGTCTGCAAAGATACTCATCCAGCCTGCCACGTTGAATGGTGCAAAGAAGGGGACTACATTGCTGAGGAGTACTGCCAGAAGACATGTGGTGCGTGTACTGTTGAAGTACTTCTACGATCTGCCATCGAGGATGACAAAGTTCCTGTCTGCAAAGATACTCATCCAGCCTGCCACGTTGAATGGTGCAAAGAAGGAGACTACATTGCTGAGGAGTACTGCCAGAAGACATGTGGTGCATGTACTGTTGAAGTACTTCTACGATCTGCCATCGAGGATGACAAAGTTCCTGAGCCTGTCTGCAAAGATACTCATCCAGCCTGCCACGTTGAATGGTGCAAAGAAGGAGACTACATTGCTGAGGAGTACTGCCAGAAGACATGTGGTGCGTGTACTGTGTAAACAAATTTCATGTGTTTACCCTTAACAATTCGTAGAATTGCAATTTATCATTAATTACCTTGCATTTATTTATCTGTCGTTTTATTTGACATCTTGAACAACAATAACAATCTGACAAAATAAAAATCTGCATCACACTTTTCCCTTACAACAAATACTGTTTCTACAAGGTCTACTTTTATGAACTCATTATATATCATCAATTTATATTAACAATAACATCGAATTAACGTTGGTTCAATTAAGCTAACATCAAATTGATAAATACTAGATATTTTAAAACACCAATTTTTAAATCAGTTCCTTCATAATTAATCGGAATTGTTATCAGTGTGCAGTTAAACCATATAAAATATGTTAAAATCGACTTATATGTTAGCTTCATTGATTTTAAGGCTGCATTTGATTCCATATGAAGTTTATATGTCCGAGCATGAGACACTATGGTCTTCCTGAGAAGTATGTCAGAATCTTTCAGGCATTTTTCAATGGAACCGTGAGTGCTATTAGGGTAAATGATGAAATGTCTAATTGGTTCTCTGTCATCTCAGGCACTTGCCAGACATCCAGGGTCCTCCCATATTTATCTAAGGTTAACCATGCACCATTCGAAAGAACATCCTTTGACATCAGGGTCACTTATCCTAATTGCGACTCAAATACATTTAAGCCACTAGATAAAATCTACAGTGCGCATGAGAAAGATCTCTATGAAGAGAGTACTTCAGTCAGAGAAAGGGTCATTTGTCCTGCTAATCTTTACAACATCTAGAGGTATGGGACCACTCTGCACTGTGTTGGTAGGTCGTATCTCTGAGATGATAGCTGA